AAAAAAAAGAAGCATTTCTTATCTCACTTCTCAATTCTTCAATTTTCCCATCTGTTAAGATTCCACGTTATACATTTTTACACAAAAGCTTTTCTATAATCAAATTTTAGAATTTGTTCCAAAACTAAGTCTTCTTTTACACTTTTGCGCCTTTTTAGGGGTAAAATGGGTTTTTACGGCTAAAAACTGGCAAAATGGGTAATAAGAGACTTATTAGGGGTAAGAACCTCTAAAAAGGAGCAAAATGGGTAAGAAGAGACTTATTAGGGGTAAGAACCTCTAAAAAGGGGCAAAAGAGGTAAAAAGAGACTTATTAGGGGTAAGAATCCCTAAAAAGGGGCAAAAGAGGTAAAAAAGAGACTTATTAGGGGTAAGAACCCCCAAAAGGTGCAAAAGAGGTAATAAGAGACTTATTAGGGGCTAAGAACCCCTAAAAATGCCTAAAAGAGGATAAGAATTTAAAATTCTACAAAAGGAAAGCAAGTATTTGGAGAACATTCCTCTCCCTGGGATCGTGTGAAAAAATAAGGGTTTTGAGCCTGTATTGCGAAACAATTCACATATATTTTATACATTTATAAACTTGAATCGATAAGGCGCATTAAAAAGTTGTGTTAGTGTATTAGAATCATACGCGAACGGCGCTAAGAATCTTTTGTGTGTGTGTGTGCCATGCCAATGATTCATAATGCTGAATATGTCAAACTGGTTTTCGACTCGTATATAAGAAAAAGGTTCCTACACAATGCTTCACCCCTTCCGTCATTTTAATTCTTCAATTCAAGAAACACTTTCTACTATAAGCCCCCGAAAAGAAACATTTGGAAAACTAGCAAATTAACTAAAGAGTTGTATGTATGTATACAGATTCTGTATGTATACAGATCAACTCTTTAGTTAATTCGCTATTTTTCCGACAAGAATTTTTAAAAAATACCTACTTTTCGAAGCTTTCAAGTTAAAAATGGAGAAATTGATAAAATTTTGATTCTTAAATATTAGTTTTTGATGCTAACTTCAGGAAGATATTGTATGTAAAAGCGGTTCTGGTTGCATTTTTGCACTTGAATGGGTAAAAATCGCAACTATATTCTATTAGAAAATTTTAATTTGCTCAAATTAGCAGAAATGTTTTAAAAAGAAGAATCGAACGAAAATCAGAACACAGAATTTTCTAAAAAAAAAACTATTTGCCATTTGACTGTAAATATTAGCCACCCGATTTGTTCAGCTCGTTTAGTAGTCGCAACCTCCTTATTCCTTCGGCTTCGCACCTATTTCTTCAATCGATACCGACTCTCAAAATTAACTTGACCTCCTTCCGAAGCAAAATCACTAAAGCAATCTTCTTTTTCTCTTTCTCCCTTTTTTTTTCTTTCTTTCCTAAGAATTTAAAATTCGAAATTTGAAATATCAAATTTTAAAATATGAAATTTTTAAATTTGAAATTTTCAAATTAACCATCGAATCAAAATTTTTTCTTCGCTAATAAATCTTGCTTTTTGTTAGTATATAGGAAACGAAATATTAGGAAACGAAAAGTAAAAAAAATTGCAACAGCTGTAAAAATTGCGGAAGAATAACACAAAAGTTTGAGCAATGTTGTAAGAAAGGAGGTTATTCACCTCCTACTCCTCCTCTCTCGATGTTAAATTTATCAAATGAAAAAGTATCTCTCTTTAGCGAGATTGTTGTCCAAGGTCGAACCGACTCGTTGGCTTTGAACCTCACCAACTTATGTGTGACTGGGATTTGAGATTTGAATTTTGAAAATTAGAAAGGAAGGATAAGAAAAAAATTGTTTCGCGAAACGACCGGATGTGACAGAGACGAACGAACGTGACGTGATTGGTCAATGGCACGCGTAATCGAGCTTCACACTCTAAAGATATATATATATATATATTTTCGAACTTATATTTTTCACTATAATACAAACCAAGTTATATTTACTGGAAAAATACTTTTTATTTTAAAAAACTAACCCGGTCCTTAAATTTTATAAACATTAAGGAAAATACGAAAAACAATTTAAATATCATTATAATTAACGTAGGGTAAATAATTTTAGTTCAAAAAACGAAAAAATTGTAAACGGACCATTATTTTCTCATTTCAGTTCAAAAAATTGTAAACGGACCATTATTTTCTCATTTTAGATCCCAAAAAAAACGAAAAAATTGTAAACGGACCATTATTTTCCCCACAATTTCATACTTCTTGGCAAAAATTTTCCCCCCGAATTCTCAAATTTCTAATTTTCAAGACAAAAATTTAAAAAATACCCCTCGTTAGTCAAAGCCTGGCCACTAAGACAACTTCTCCATTTTCTATTAATTCACGTTCTCTTAAATTGGATATAAAAATAATTTTTCGTTCAAGGTCCATAAGGTCACGTCCCTGGAAGCATTAGAATTCTGATCAGGAGCGGATTACTTAAGAAAATGAAGACAAGAGAGTGAGAGAGAGAGAGAAAAAACTTATAATAGTGAATTTTTAATTTCAATGGATATACGAAAATATTGTCAGAAAAGAAGACACACGTATTTTTCGAACCGAATAAAGAAATTCAGAGAATTATAAATGTTGAATTATGGTCAGAGCAGAGTTTGAAATTCTCTAAAGGAAAAAAAAAGAAGAGAGGAGGATAGAAGAAAAAAAAATTATGTGCCGGCCACGTGTCGATGGCGCTTATTTCCTAACCCAAAATCGTATGTTTCGCCTTTCTGTGAACGACTATATACAAGATTTAATCGCTGTGCAAATTCAATGTTTCATAATGAATAATTACTTTCATCGTTGTCGCGTTCGCATACTTAAGTCATAATATGATAATGAACTTAAATTTCTATCCCTACGCATTCTGATCGTTTTTTTTTTTTTGGTAAAATTATGTATATTTTTTTTTAAATAAATAGGCAATGAGTACGTAATTTTAAAATAAATACGTATTTTTTAAAATAAATGCGTAATTTTAAAATAATGACGTACTTTTTAAAATAACTACATAGTTTTAATATTAATATATTTTTCTTTTTCAAGTATGTACCTACTTTTTAAAATAAGTGCGAAATTTTAAAATAAATACGAATTGTTTAAAACTATTAAATCCTCTAAATGAAGGCATCTTACTGGGTCTATAATTCTTAACTATAAAAGTAGAAAAAAATTCATAAATTTAAAAATTAACTAAAATTTATGAATATTTTTCGATTTCTTAAATAAAAAATCAAACATAACCTCTAAATGAAGGCACCTTACGAGACCCAAAGCCGAACCATAAAAATAGCGAAAAAATCTTATAAATATAAAAAAATATAATTTTTCACTATTTAAATATAAAAGACAAACATAACCTCTAAACGAAGGCATCTTACAAGGCCATCATTGAGACAAGGAAAAGTTTTTATAATTAATCAGACAAACTTTTCAATAAACGAAGACACGTGTTTTTACCGAGTGACTTATCTTTCACAATTTTTTTTTTTTCATTAGACTTAGACCCTATTTATTTCTAATTTATCATAAGATTTTCTCGTCCAAAAATTGTAATCAATTTGCAATTTTTTTTTACATTTTTTTGCCCTTAAAATGACTTCAAGAGGTTATGTTTTACATTAATGTCAGATCAAGGGAATTTCGCCAATAAAGGTACGTCTACACTACTTTCGGAAGAAAAAAAAGGATTTTGATGGAAAAAATTCTGAATAAAATACAGAATAAGATCCAATATTTATTTCGTTCGGTAAATTCTTTATATTATAGAATATCAAAGTGATTATTAACTTTATAATTTTAGCCATTAGCTTTCTAATTTCTTAACGAAATCGAATAAACGAAAATTAATAATTATAATTTATAACTAAAATAATATAAAAAATACTCTAGAAAATTATGACTGAAAAATACTATTTTTAGATTAAAACTAAATTCTAAACTGAATTTTATTTCTTGGAAAAGAATATACTTACACATAGACACTGATCAAGGTTACGAGTCATCGCCCTCATCGGTTTAGTCACAAAAATACAAGTTTTATATACCAAATAGGAAACAAAATATTATAAAATTAATTTTACTTTCGATTTTCTTTCTTTTTTTATTTCAACTTTTGCAATTTTTTTTCGCAAAGCAAAAATTTTTTCTGCTAAAGTTGATTGTTATGTAAAATAGTGAGGAAAATAGTCGGACAAACGGAAGTGACAAGTTTCAATCTAGAGTTTTGTATATTCTCAGTTGGTAAAGTACGTGACCTTTCGTCATTAGAAATATTAGAAATTTTCTTCTTTTTTTTTGCCCAGATATTTATTTTTTTTTTTAAAGCGTGGGAATTCGAAAAATTCGAGAAAAAAAACTAGTTTGGTTTTCTATTATCTAATCACCACTTTGTATATATATTTATTGTAACCAACAGTCCGACAATTCGCAGAGTCCTCGTCCTTATTCAGCGTTTTAAAAACTTTTATTTCTCAGTTTACATTTAGGATCTAATATTCGATTCCAAGAGACGTTTTATCAGTTAATATGAATATGAGATTTTAATTGAATCATTTCTCGAAATTTATCGCTCTTTTTCTTTTCGACTTGAAAATAGAGAAACAAAGAAGTAACATAACCTAGAAATTTTTTTATTTTGTTACACGAGGAAAAATAAGAAAAGTGAAGAAAATTTACGAAATTGAAAAGACAAAATTGAAAATCCTAATTGAAAGTGAAAATAAGAAAATGAAAATATTGGGAAAAATATAATTTTGTTTTTGAGGGGAAATAATAATAGTAGTTAAAATAAATAAAACGACCGTTAATATACAGTGTCTGATATACTGTTTACAGGAGTGTTGCGCAACTTGTTCAAACAAAATTTTCCCCAAATATTTGTAGAGAAATAGTGAAACTTTGAAAATTTGAAAAATTGATAATTGAAAAATCGAAAATTTGAGAATTTAAAATAGGAAGTTTTCATTTTTTATAGTTCTAGGAGTAGATTTTTGTTCTCTTACCTTGTCTGCCGACAATTTCGGCCACGTGCTCGCTGCTTGGCACCGGCACGCATTCAGTCATGTTCTGGCTTTTTTTCGAACGTGCCTCCTCAAAGACATTAGTTGGAGTTGTTTGCATGGCATCTGGATCATTTGGCGAGCCACTTCCGGTTCCGCTTCCCGATCCTGGACATCCAGTACCTTCAAGTCCAAGCATTGAAAGTTCAAAGGCAAGTTGCAGTGCTCTTTGCTCTTCCAATGAGCCGGCACCCGTACCATTTGAACCGCGGTCCATTTCGCTGAATAAACTTGTCGGCATTTTTCTTTACTTTACTCTTTATCGAGAATTAAACCAAAAAAAATAATTTTTCTCGAGAGAAATTAAAAACACTTTTCCACCGAAAAAAACTTCAAGAGACGTTTTCTACACAATCTGAGATAGAGAGAGAGATAGAGATTTTTCTGTTCAAAAATGATTTCCTCAGGAAATTTTTCGAGAAATCACGTAGAAAAAGCGATGCACTTTTTTATGTATAAAAATAAATTAATTCACCACCTTTTTTTTTATCTCGAGTAATAACTATTTATTTTTTCCGGGAATGAAGTACACAGTGCGGCGTCCTTTTCACAAAAAAGATGAAAAAATTTTTCTTCTCTGTTTTATTGAAAAAACAGTGTCGTCCTATGTGTTCAAAGACTCGTTTTGTTGCCGCTTGTTTAATTTTTCCAACAATTAAATCGCGAGTGTATTTTGTTTTTATAGTGACAATAAAATTTTTTGTTTTTAGTTATATTACTTTATATTTTATTGTGCAATATGATTACGTTGGCTTCGTCAACGACTGACTGAAGCAGTGTCGCGCGACTAAAAGCTTTACTTTGGGAAACGCGTACAACTACTCTTAACACTCGTATACCACTGCGACTAACTGCGGACTGCGGCGGCTCGACCGGCAATCCATGTGCCGGACGCCGGGTTTCCAAGGCTCCCATTGGTGCGCGCCAACTTTCCCCACCAAATAATTCGTGACTACATTCGGTTGTAATCGTTTTGTCTCGTGCTTCTTCGGCGCAAGTTCCTCGTCCTCTTTGCTTTTTCGCAGGCATGCATCCATAGGGGAGGCTTGTGTTTTTTTTTTGGGTAAAAAAAAAGTTTTTCCCTCCCTTTTTTTTTCTTATTATTAACGCGCCAAGTTTTTGTGATTAGTAAAAATTTCACACATTGTAAGTATTAATTCTAAGTTAATTAATTCTAAGGTAAGTATTTTAATTATTTTTTGATAGAAATAATACTGATTTATGTTTTTCAGTACAGGGTCATTCTCAGCAGTGGTTCATCTAAACAAGCAGTCGAATACTATGAAGATCACCATTTTTTTCCGGATTAATAAATATGGTAATTATAAACATACTTGAAATTAAATAGTGTTTCAATGGAATAACTTTAAGTGCCACCAACCTGTATAATTGACAATTGTAAGTATACTCTATTTGTGATATTTTTCTCATTCATAATAATTAAGGTTATGTTATACTATTTTAATCTCCTTTTATTTACAGACTTTTTAGGTGCTCGATATGAAAAAATCGTTAAGATTTTAATGGGTAAGTATGTAGTGTTATTAATAATATTATTTATTTATTATTTACTTATTATTTATTTATTTATTTATAATTTATTTATCTAACCTCTTTTTCTAGGTTCAACATTGAAGAGAGACCATTGTGTCAAATGAAATTAAGTAAAGTAAAGTATTAATTGTCGTCTTTTAATAGAAAAATGGTAATGTTGACAAGCTAAGTAACTGTTTAAGTTAATGAACATTTGATTAAGTATTAATTATCAACTTTTAATAGAAAAATGGTAATGTTAAAATGGTAACTAACTGTTTAAGTTAATAAACATTTGATTAAGTATTAATTGTTGCTTTTTAATAGAAAAATGGTAATGTTAACAAGCTAAGTAACTGTTTAAGTTAGTAAACATTTGATTAAGTATTAATTGTCACCTTTTTTAATAGAAAAATGGTAACTAACTGTTTAAGTTAATAAACATTTGATTAAGTATCAATTGTTGCTTTTTAATAGAAAAATGGTAATGTTTAGAAGCTGAGTAACTGTTTAAGTTAATAAACATTTGATATTAAGTATTAATTGTTGCTTTTTAATAGAAAAATGGTAATGTTAAAACTTTTATACATGGAAGAATGATAAAAAGTCCTATTCAATATATGGTTTTAAAAACAAGTCCATTACTTATAGTATAGTCTTAACAATTTTCGTATAATAGATTTGCCTCTTTTTAAAAAAAAATCCTAACCTCAAAATTTTGCATTTGTTTCCTTCTCGAGTCTGAACTATACCTTCTTTCAACTTCAAAAATGCAAAATATTATATTTAAGCGTAATTTGAAAGATCTATTTTTTCTCTCTCTCTTTTTTTGTAGAAAAATTTATAGAAAGACAAGAGGAGTTGAATTATCGTGAGAAGCGCGTGCGTGATGGCCGGGCAAAGAGCCACAGTTCGATGTCCTTTGAATAAAGTTCCAGAAGCTGCTTTTGAACTGAAAATCATTATTGGCATATTATCACAATATATATGTATGTATATAAATACATATAAATATACATATATATAAATATACATATATATATATACATATATATAATATTTTATATAAAGATATATGTATCTTATATGCGAATTTACAAAATTAACTTCTCTTGGTCTCACTAAAACTCTGCGTTGTCTAAAAACTTCATCCTAATACTATTTATTTATTTATAAACTGAAATTTATAAATAAATAAATTGTTTGGATAGTTGTTTTTTTTTGTAAAAATTAATGAAAGCATTAATATTTTTAAAAATAGTCGCACAACCACACTTACTAGATGTATGTTATTGTAACGAATAAGTGTAGCTAGACACCTGCTTCTGCGTCTTTTGCAAATTCATTAAGAATGATACACATGCGTCTTTTTTTTTTGCTGATGTGATAAATGTCAGCGGTTCTTAACTTTATTTCTCATTCTTCAAGAAAGGCTGATTAGATTAAAACCTCTCCACGTGTTTATTATATTTTTATTATATTATGAATACATTTAGTATATACCTAAATTTTTATGAGTTACTCTCAAATTATTCAATATTATTTTTATAACAAAAATTTACTAATTTTGCCGAGTTTTTTTTTATTAGAAGCCTTTTTAGGTTATTTTCAAAAATAATTAGATTTTCAAAGGGTTTTACACTGAAATTGTTGAAAATATTCCACTACTATTTTTCTTAAAGTTAAAGATAATTGAATTTATATAATTGAATTTTTATGAATTGAAATTTGATATTGGAAATGGATGAAATAATTTTGAAAAAAGTGTACTGAAAGTAAGATTTCTATTATATAGTGAAATGTACCATTATCGTCAAAAATAATTTTACTAACAAAAATTCAGATTTAGAAAATGTTTATTTTTTTATATTATTTCTTCTTCATATATAATAATGAAGAATAAATTTTCTAAAATGTCGCAGATTTTATATTATTAGCACACAAAAGAGAAAATAAAATTTAGTGTATTATAGATATACGTATAATTAAATACTTGTATCTTATAAAAGAAGGTCACAATATGTATTCCTTCGTCAGATAATTAGAAATGAAGTTTACTACAATTCACTGAACTTGTCCTCTGGGAGTTCGTTGAATCAGAAGTATATGTATATAGTAAATATTTCTGTGTATCGTAAAAGACAACCTTGAAAACAAGCCTTTTTTGTTTGCCCGACAAGAGTTCAATAACATTTTCATACCGACTTTACTTGATTTTGCTCATCATGATCTAAGTCTATTTGACCACAAAAGATATATATATATATAAAATTTGTGTTCCTACAATTTCGATATATATATTGTACACTAATTGTATTTGTGTACAAAATATATAGTCGCATCTTTAGACAATGAACATGCATAAGAGTTGTATTTGTTATATTGTATTACAATATAACTTTTAAAAAAAATTTTTTTTAAATATTAAAATGCTCTATTATACTATATAATTTTATAAGATAATTTTATGTTATACTATATTGTACTATTAGTATAGTATTCAATACTATACTATACACACTAAAAAAAAAGTTTTACTTTTAGCCTGTTTTCGAGGCTGAATTTAAGGTGTAAACGGAGTCAGCCCCATTAAACAAGGACAGACTTATGTGAAATACATGGGCTGAATTTAAGGTGTAAACGGAGTCAGACTTTTTTTTTCCTGTGTACTGTACTATACTATATAATACTATACTATACTATAATATACTACATGATATTATATTATATCATTTTATATTATTTTATATTTTACTATGTAGTCTTATATATTTATTATTTTAAAAATATTAAATAAATTATATACGTCTGTATGTTTGCAAAGTTTTCTCAAAGGATCAAGTTTGCTTCTAACAACGAACGCAGTAATTTTAATGTTTTCAAACACAATTGATGTGTTGTACTTGTATTTATAACTGAAGGTTCACACGGCTGTGTAAAAAAGACAGGAAATCGAAAAGAGACATATGTTATGTACTGAAAACATGAGGGTATTTGTCTTAGATTATATAGGCTACTATATTGAAATAAATATATAGTTTGAAAAGAACTAGTGCTTTTTTATTTAGCATAATTTTCAACCCCTATATAAATATGTTACTTCCAAGGTGTTTCGAAACATGTATAATTATATATGAGTCTAAACGATTTAATTACAGGAATATTTTAAAAAGGATGGTGACTCTTTCTGTATTATTATAACATCCTAATATCCTCACATTTACATATATATATTATATATATATATATATATTATATATATATTATATAGTCATTATCAGCCTGTTGATGAATGGAATTTTTGGATAATTCCTCTGGTAATATTGTCCAAAAATTTATCCTAAAATTCGTCCCAAGATTTATCTTAAGAATTCTTCGATTAACTAATTTAAAATAGTATTAAAAGTAATTAAAAATATTCGATGAGTTTTATTATTTATAAAAATAATTGAATTCTTGCTTAGAGTTTTATCAAGAAATTTTTAAAAAATTGAATTTTTTAGTTTTAGCTAACTTTTTTTGCTTATTTAGAGCAAAAAAAAAAAAAAATATTTTTTGCCATCGTGTTAGTTGGAAGGGAAAATTTTTGAATATTGGGATGAATTCTCGTATTTACAGCTGCGGTACGAAAAGAATTGTGCGGCATTTTTTTTGCCTTTTTTTCGGTCGGTGGGAGTGTTTTCGGGAAAACTTTCCATTACATAATTATAATCTACCACGCGCCATACGGCACTTTAAGAAATTACCATAGAAAAATCTACGGCGAAAGAGAGGATGAAAAAAATGAAATAGTATAATGAAGGGAAAACTATTTTTCCAATCCTAGAAAAATAATGAATCAAGCTTAAAGGTCCCAGGTATATGACATCCGGGGTAAAAGTTCTTTTGTACTTTTTTTCACCGACGAAAAGTGAAGTTCAGTCCCACATATACATATACATACACATTTTGCAGCTGTGTGGCAAATTAATGGACCTTTCGAAAAAGTTTTCAGCTCCTCGTTTCCAGGCAAATTGTCTCCCCCCTCTCTCTCTCTCTCTCCCTCTTCTACTCACTTACTTAAGTTTCTACTTTCTGCTAAATTCTGTTGTTTTAAAAAAATTTTTTTTAAATATTACAAAAAAATTTTTTTTAATTTTTCCAGTTGAGAATATTGCCCGCAGGGAGGCAACCAACTTGGTCGTTTTGCGCTACTGCGAATAAGTATATATAAGCCGACTCAGAGGCCAGCAATGCGGTTCTCCTCTTGCGAGCATGTTCACTCCGATCGAAATCGAAAGAAATATCCTCTCCCGCCTCGTGTACGTATCGCACGTA